AATTCTGCACAGCTCTTTTAAATTTAATGGAATGTTTTTGATTTTCATTTGGTATTAGACGATGGCCAAATGCTGGCAGATAAGCTGACTAGCATAGACATTCCTACCTGTAAAATCTTTCATTTTGTAAAAGTATATATATCTTGAGGTTAGAATAAGATTAACATAGCTTTACATAATTGCACTACCTGCCACAGTTAATTTATGTACTATAGCATTTTAATCAAATTAGTGTGGCAAACAGAGTTCATTTAACTCTTTTAAACTGAAGGAGAGTACATTTAGGTCTTAGGTCTTAGGAAGAATTTCTTCAGTATGAGGGTGGTGAGACTCTGGACTAGATTGCCCAAAGGGCCTGTGGATGCCCCCTCCCTGGAGATGTTCAAGGCCAGGTTGGATGAGGCCTTGAGTAACCTTGTCTGATTGAGAGGTGTCCCTGCCCATGGCAGAGAGGTTGGATTGGGTGATCTCTAGGGTCCCTTCCAACCTAAGCCATTCTAGGGTTCTGGGATTCCAACAACTACTGAGAAACTTGCCACTTGTGGCCTTTTGTCTAACAATGTCTAATCTTGTTAGAGACATTATTCAAGTTAATGAGTTATCCTTTTGGAAAACATTGTTTATTTAAAGAAAAGGAACTACAAGAAAGTATTTTTTTTACTTTCAAGAGTAGCTAACCATTACATTTTCCTCTTGGGCAGGGTACTGGGCAATAAGGAAACAACAAAGGGCTGCAAACAGCTCTTGCCACAGTACAGTTAGTAGCAACTGGATTGTTTCTTAGGGCTCCCAAATTAAAAGGAGCATGAGGAAACTATTGGCCAAGATATGTCTTAAAAACAATCTTAATTCTTCTTGTTCACGGCTACAGAGAGGACACTATGCATTTCTGAGGCCACTTTGATACACTTTTATTTGACCAAGGCACATGTTATTAGTCTCTTAATTTCCAGTTGCTTCAGTTTGTGCTTTTCTTCATAGAACACGAATAGATGTTTGTTTAAATGTGTGTTTGAGCTGACTGTAATAAGGATCTTGAAGCAGTTTTTAGCTGTGCAGTGTTTTAAAGATGAAATATGGCAATTTAAAAGTAAAATAGGCGATCAGAGATTTAGATACTTAAAGATGGGCAAAAGCATCATAATTGACAAGGTTTTTGACACTTTCATATAAAATTCTCACAGATAAATTGATGCTGTGTGCAGTAGATGTATGGGCAGAGAGGTAGGTGGAAAACTGGCTGAGCTGCTGGGCTGAAAGGGTTGTAGCAAGTAGCATGAAGTCCAGCTGAAGGCAAGTCGGTAGTGGTATAGCTGAGGGATCAATACTGGTTTGCAAATGATACAAAATTGGGAAAAGTGGTGGTTGTGGTGCCATTTGAGGGACCTTGAGAGGCTGGAAAAATGGCCTGACAGTAACTTCATGAAGATCTTGAAAGTGAATTGCCAAAAATTGCCTCTAATGAGGAGTAACCCCAGGTACTAGTACACGGTACATGATGGGAACTGAATGACTGGAAAGCAGCTCAGCAGAGAATGACCAGGGGGTTCTGGTGGACACAAAGTTGACCATGAGCCAGCAATGTATTAGGCAGGTCATTGCCAGCAGGTCAAGGGAGGTGATCCTCTGCTCAACACTGGCGAGATATACGTGAAGCTCTGTGTCCAGTTATGTGCTCCCCAGTAGGAGAGAGACTTGGACATATTGGACCATAAGGGGCCATGAAGATAATTAAGGTATTGGAGCATCTCTCATGTGAGGACTTCTAAGACAGCTGGAACTGATGGATGAGTGAAGGAAACAGAGCCAAAGTCTTCTCAGTGGCGCTCAATGACAGGACAACACAAACTTAAGTACAGGATGTTCCATCTGAACATAAGGAAAAATCCCCACATTTCCTGTGAGGATGGCACAGGTTGCTCAGGGAGACTGTGGAATCTCCATCCTTGAAGACATTCAAAGCACAGTTGGACACTGTCCTGGGCCACTTGCTCTTGCAGACCCTGCATGAGTAGAAGGATTGAAGTAGGCAGTCTCCAGAGGTGCTTTCTAGTCTCAGCTATCCTATGATTTTGTGATTTCATGAAGAAAGTTAAATATATTTTCATTGCACTTCATTACAGATGCCCAGTGTCCTGTTAATAACACAAGAAAATTTACCAACTTTCATGATTAAACATCTGAAAGGCTGCCTTTGAATATCTTCTTAAGATTATGGAATATATTGTCCAACAGTCTGGAAAAAGCCACAATTTAGAGACAATTGTGTTTACAGAGATGAGAAAGGTAAAATAAGTGTTCTGTGCCATAAAAATGTAAATACAATTTTCAAAGTTACAGGTCCATAGGAAAGTCTAAGATCAGAAGAGGCCTCTGGAGATCATCTGATTCAACCTTCTGGTGCAAGGCCTGCAAATCAGGGTATCCAGGAATTTGTGAAGCTGAATTAGCAAGGGAAATTGCACCATTTCTCTGGCTGCCTGTTCTGTGGTGAAAAATATTTTTCTTATATCCAGATGAAATTTACCTTGGAGCAACTTGTGCCCCTGTTCTCTTGTCCTATCACCATGTGTGGTGGTGAAGAGAGCACCCTCATCTTCCCTATAGCTATTTTTTAGTTATTGGAAGATGTCCCTGAGCTTTTCTCTTCTGTGGGTTACACCAGCACATTCTCTTTTTGACCTGTCTTTGTATGTTCAGGTTCTCCAATTCTCTCATCATCTTGATGGCCTTTGGCTGAGCCATCTACAGTCTTTCTCTTTTTCGAACTGAGGGAAAATCAGTCCATGTAGCCTAGATGATGGGTGGTTTTTTTTTTTTTTCTGGTAAGATACAGCAGCACAATAATTTTTTTTCCAGATCTCTCTGAGGAGCTCTCATACCCAGTTATAGTTATCAAAATAGGCTTCCTGAAGTCTAAAGATAAATAAATGTCTTTTTTATTGGATAATTTTTCAAAGATGTGCAGAAAGGAGTTAGTCACAAGGGTAATGTGCAAGATAACAGCTTTGAACCTACTCTGGCTGGAGACAAAGAGTATTTTGCCATCAGCTTCAATGGAAAGAGGGAATGACAGACAGTTTTATAGAACATGTGCTGAACTGGGACTGTGCATAGTTAGACTAAGAAAATCACTCCACCTCCTGTGAAACACAGAGAGCCACGGGACAACCCATACCGAAAAATAAATTCTGTTAAAGGCTCTTAGAGAAGTCCCCAGGAGAACAGATTTTTTTACTGCTTGTATGCAACTTTCTAGCTGAGAGGCTGCTTATCTACATTTATAAGGAGCATTGGTCTTGATATTTTAATTGGAAGACATTGCAACTAGCCACAGCAAATACTAGACTCATTGTGTGAGGTTTGCTTGCATCCCTTGTTGCCATTTGTTTGAAGGCTAAGACTTGTTGAAATGATTCTGATTCTTAAGTTTCTGCACCAGATTTTTATAGGAGAACCTGAAATCATACAATCATAGAATGGCTTAGATTGGCAGGGACCCTAGAGATGATCTAATCCAACCTCCCTGCTATGGGCAGGGACATCTCTCAAGTAGATGAGGTTGCTCAAGACATCATCCAACCTGGCCTTGAACACTTCTAAAAGATGACAAGGAATTAAATATGAGTCTGTTTAGCAATCAGCACTCTTAACAAGAGTGTTCTTCCCCTTCAGGAAAGTGGAGTAACTAGCTGGGACATTGTATTCTGTGTTCTAGATTTGCCAAGTTGTAAAGAATACTAACCTTTTATCTATGTCTGCTGCTAAATAAGGTATTGATAGGATCTGAACCTCAGCCCTGAGGCCACTGGTTTCCCAATCTGCAACAGATTATTTTGGGAATATTAGTGGCAATGGTTCAAAACAGAGCCAAGAAGTGTCCTCACAAATGTGATGGATGATTGAGTATTTGAAGCTTGGATTCACACCCTGAGCTTCTTTTATTTATAATATAGATGTGTTCCTTGAATTTAAGCCCTCTCCTCAGAATTCATATTTGTCTGTAGATGTAGAAAGTAAAAGACAGGAATGTCAGCATGTTGGGTGTTGGATTCGTGATGGAGCTTGGAACAATCCTTAACAGGTTCTAAGAAAGGTATCAAAACTCAGTAGTAGTATCTTTTATCAAAAGGAAACCAATGGTGTTCATTTATAGAAAGAAGGTGAAGAATCTTTTTGTGAGGAATAGTTGCGTGTCCTGTTCATGTGTGAAATAATTTGGTGTACCTGTGAAAGCTGTCCAGACGGTGAATTTGAAATCTCCCTGTAGCTGAGAAGGAATGAAACTGAAGGGGCTTCTTAGACTTTTGACTTGCCTTGACTGGAGGTTTTTAGATACCATGGTATGGGTAAGACTGTAAATAATATAATTTTCTGTTTTGACAGTCACAGGTCGCACTGAGGTGAGGGCATAGGTGCAGAGTGAGAGAGTGGTGTCTGCAAAGTGATTTTTATGGTGTGCTATGCAATCTGCTGTTTTTCCTTTGCAAACTCTATGCTCTGGCAAAGTGCAGCAAGATCTCAGTTTCCATTTAGAAGAAAGCATGAGCTGTGTGAGAATGATCAGCTGGAAAACATGTGCCCTGACACTCAAGAGCCAGGAGTCAATTAAGTACCTTGATTTAGGAGTGATGGAGCAGTTCCTGGTTTTGAATAAGTGCCAATAGGAGAGGCAGCATTTCTGTACTGTTGTATCCTCAGTTGGTCTCATTGCTGGGTAATGCTTAGTGAAGCAGCTGTTCAGTTCACAACCCGAGACAAACCCATCCCAAACTCCTCTATGACCAGATGAAAGGGTTAAGACTGAGTGGAGACTAGCCATGTTCAGCTTCCTGAGCTGTACTGATGCTAGACTTATTTCTTAAAGGACATAGCTGCTGGTGTGGCTGCTCAGGAGCGACCTATTTACACCAGGTTCTGTCTTAAGAACTGTATTTTGAATGCACTTTGTTATTTTCTTGTTACTCAGAAGTGGTCCTTAATATGTCTAATATTTTTAGTGCCCTACAGATACCAAAGCAACGTTTGGGGTCCACCTTAAAGTTGTAGGAGACTGGACAGGTATGTAGAAAACCAATTCCTTTACAGAGATAAATACCTTTACTTGAACTGTTTACCCTTTCTGGCTTCAGCAGGATTGTACCTTGATTGTGGTGTATCCTCACTAGAGATCATTCATGCTTGTTTTCCCAAAGGTTTTTTTATGACATTCTTGATTCAAACCCTGCTTTATTCAGATATACATTTCTTCAGATAACATGTTTTTCCAACTATTAATAGAACTGATTGCAATGTAATAGTTTTCAGCATTCCTCTTCTTCTGCCTCTTTTTCTTATTTTTCCTTGCCCCTGTGCAGTGCAGTGTCTCTGTGCGTGGTA